CATTCTAGTCATACAGTAAAGGGTGGAAAACACCAGTCATGCCTTCTGTCATGCCTTAAGACAACACAACAGGACCAGATTTGCATGGTTAAATTTACAGGCTGAGGAACAAGGAGGGTGTATGTCTCTGTCCTGTCAGGGACAGGACTCCCGAACGCTCACCAACAGATGGTTACATTTTCTGCTTAATGTTTTCTGTCCCAGTTGGGACCACAATGGAGAGGAAATACATTTACAAGTCACCCGTGGCCTTTAGTGGCCAACCTGAGACATGGCAACCCAGTTATTCAGAGGTTTATCTAACTGTGCCACTGATCTCGACTGTAGCAGGGTCGCCTGCATCTCTGGACTCTTGGTGCCCCCAGATACATATCAAAATTGCACACTCAAGTCTGCATGAAAAGCTTTAGAAAAGTGGTAGGTACACTGTAGAAATAACCTCTCATTGTAAATATTAAACTACACCTACAGTTATATGCAGACTCTATACTTTTTGTCTACTAAGAGTAGGAAATAATGCTATAGGATCACAGCAAGTAATACAACAAAGCTGCTGTCAAGAAACGTCTGACTTTAATTGAAATGACACTCTGCTATCCAACAGCTCCAGGCAGTGCCACTGTAGTACATGTTGGGAGATGAGAGGTAGGTGGGATGCCCACCCTCACCGTACGCTAGGCCATCTTCTGTGATGAGCCACGTTCTACCCCACATCTTCTCCTGACCATTAGGTATCAACAGTGAGCCACCAGCACTTTCTCTCCAGGATGGGAAGAATGGTAGTTTATGTCATATTTCTGCTTCAAAAAAATGAAATTCTAAAAATCAGGGCGAAAATGACACTGAGAGAGGGAGAGTATAAGAGGAGACACTTCCAGCAGCTGGAATTGTTGCTTCATGTAAAACTCTGCAACTTCAAATTTTGTTCTCATAAACTGAAATGAAACACTGAATTACTATTTCCACATAAAAGCTTTTTTTCTTTTGCAAATTTCTCCCTTGGCCAACTGAAAACTTAAAAAAATAAATAAAAGGAGGAGGAATATAATCAAGCAAAGTCTGAGGAAAAAAATAAACTAGCAATGGAGCTGATAAAAGAAAAAAAGTTTAACTATCACATTCAAAAAATGGTAAACAAAAGGTCATAACACCACCAAAACCTTTTAAACTTTTCACTTCAAAGAAAAATTGGAAAAACAACGAGTTGATAATAAATTTATGTTTTGATGAAATAGCATTCGTATTGGAAAAACACTCCATCAGGAAATGTTGAACTAGTCGTAAGAACTTTATCTACAGATTACTCAGAAGAAAAAATACTCTATTTTGTATTGTTCACATTTAAAAATAAGTGACATTTTCCATATTAAGTTCTGACATACTTACATTATTTCTGTATGTCTCCATTGATGCATAGCCAGCTGATTCTATGTCATAAAATATAGCAAGTTTCCTATTTAGTTTTGAGTTACTTTATCCTGTAAGTTAATAACTAGTTCAGGACTGAGAAATCTTCAAGCACAAAATAGCTTAAGCTTAGCAGATTGATGCAGATGGAGCCTTTTTTATTTATTCCAGAAGAAATATTTTCTCGATTATATCAACATAGTTGTGGCCCTTTACATTCCTGTTACATCCCCTGAGCGTTTCAGAGTATTACCCATATTTTATGAGTGGTTTTAAGCTTCTGGCTACTTTTGAAAGGAATATTCATCTTCACAAAAATCGCTTACCAGCTGCTAGCAAGCTAATAGACACCATTCTTCAAAGTAGAAGCCTGAAAAATTTAGACGAGTATTTTTCTTGAAACAAGGAGAGAAGTAGAAAAATACTTCGTTTAAGAATTTACCACAAATAAATCTTCCTAAGTTTTTAAGCCTAGCAAGATTTCATCTGATAAAGGTCTATAAATTCCTCTGGGCAAAATACATAGGAATAACATACCAAGTTAGAAGCAGTGGTACTTGAAAGAAAAGAGAGAGTAGTAGTGAGTACACTTGTCAGAAATGAACTGCCCATCAATTCATTAATGGAATAGCATTTCTGGCTCCAGTCCCAGAGCTGCTTTCTAGCATTGTTCTAGGGTTAGAGCATCATAAAAATCCACCATTACCACCACCACCCCCGCAACAGCATCTAGCCATGCTCTTCACAGCCTGCTTGGCAAGCCTAAGGGACACTGGAAGTCCCAACTCCTTAGCTCATGTTGTCCCTCAGCAGTTTGTCTCTCCAAGGCTTTCTAGATCCTTGCTCTCAATCCAGCCAACTGATAAACTCTGAGGAAAGAGCTTGGGAGCCCAGGAACCACTGGAGTTCCCAAGACCATGATTCCACTCTGACCACCATTAACCTCCCTTGAGGAGCCCATCCAGTACTCTACTCTTTCCTGTGAGAGGAGGTGGGACACCACTGTGGCCAGGCAGAGTGCTAGGGTCTAATCTAAAGAATACCAAATCTGAAACCCCAAATATATCACAGAATAGTGACTTCCTTGTGCCAGCCCGGGCGAGGCTTTTCTGAAACACTGGGAAGGACGTACGTATTTTGAGCAGTTGGTGCCAGTATCTTTGTGTGTGTGCTGGGTTTGAGTGGTGGTGGTTTTGGTAGCAGGGCAGGGGACTACAGTAGTGGCCCCTGTCAGAAGCTGCTCAAAGTTCCCCCTTCTCCGAGTCAGACCCACCTCTAGCCAAGGCCAAGCCAGTTAGTGACAGTGGCTGCACCTCTGTGAAAATGTATTTAAGAAGGGCAACCTGAGAGAAGACTGGGGACTTGTGAGAAGGAATTACAAGAAGGATGCCTATGCGAACACCGAGGTCAGTGGAAGAAAGGGGGAGAGGTGCGCCGGAGCAGAGCCCCCTGTATCCCATGGTGAGATGGCAGAGACACCCCCCTGCCACCATGGAGGTCTGTGGTGGCACAGAGGCCGACCTGAAGCCTGTAGAGGAGCCCACACCAGGACAAGCATCTGCACTTAAAGTAAGCCAGGACTCTGAGGGAAGAAGCAGCCCCCACTGTTGTAGTTCAGCGCTGGGAGGACTGCAACACGTAGGAGGGACCCACTCCAGATCAGCTCAGGAACAGCTACACCCCGTGGGAAGGACTCGCTGTGGAGAAGATTCATGGAGGACTGTCTCCAGAGAGAGAGGAGACATGTGGAGCAGGGGAGGAATGTGCAGTGTTCACCCCACCTCCCGAGCAGGAAGAAGTGGCAGCGCTGACTGCAACCCCCATCCCCTGCCCCCTGCGCTGCTGGGGGAGGAGGTAGAGAGATTAGGAGCAGATCTGAGCCCAGGAAGAAGGGAGGGGTGGGGGGAGGCAGTTTTTTGGATGTGGTGGCACTTCTCACTGTCCCACCTCGTCCAAGTTTTGTTCTTGTTAGTGTTTGAATTAAAGTTATGTTCTCTTTTTTCTTCCCCTAACCAGTCTGTCTTTTGCCCGTGACCCACCTGTCCCTGTCCTTATCTTGACTCCTGAGCCTTTTACTTTATTTTCTCCTTCCCATTCCTGAGGCGGAAGGGGTGAATGAATGGCTGCGTGGTGCTCAGCTGGCCTGTGGGCTCAAACCACTACAGTGTGGTACAAAGTTCACAGCTCTGCCAAGGATTTCAGTTTTCTCTAATAAACAGTGCAATATTGTAGCAACAAATCATCCTATTCATCATAAAAAAGATTTACAACTGCTACTCTGAGACACACCATAAACTTTCTATACCAGTCTCAAAGGTAGGGAGAGAAATTCACTCCAGCCAGGCAGCCCCTTTCCAGATGCACTGCAGAAAAAAAAAAAAAAACACTTGCCATGCACATTTCAGCTGGTTCATTGAGCTTGCAGGGACACAGTAGCTGGGGAGCAGCTTGAGGGAGGCAGAGGTCTATCACCCGGTTCACTGCAACAGGCACAGCCAAGTGACAAGACAGCGGACTGGCAGCCTAAACAAGCACGACACAGCTGTAACACCACTCTTCCAGACAATGTCTTAACACAGAAAGTGGCTGTTCCCATCTCCTCTTCCCTACACTGCACTTCCCCCTCACTCTTTCTCCACTAAAAGAAACTCATTTGAAGTCATGACTCTGTTGTTGAGATCTGGAAACTACATTTTTAAAAAAAAACAAAAACAATCTTTTTGATGTTTTATTTGCAGGATGAGTTTAACAAGAACTCTGCTACATGTTTAACTGAAACAGCAACATACGAAAAGCCTGGTGTGAATGACTAAACACTGACTGGGAGGCTTAATAAACACCTATGCCTTTAATTTGAGAAATTAACTAACACATAAATCAATTAATACATCTAGATGATTGGCTTTAAATGTGTAGCCACATAAAACATCTCTCCTTCCACATACAAAATTCAATATAATAAACTGATTATTTAACACCAGTCCATAAAGTAATTAAAAATACAAGAAGCCCAGACCATTATTACAAATTCCTGGTGCTTGGAAACACTGCACTTAATCCAAAACACCTTTTCTGAACAACAACAAACCACTTCTAATATTCATAATACAGCAAGAATCGATAAAGTCAAGTTGTTGGCTTCTGTTATTGGGCTTGTGTTGCTTGTCATCAAAAAACTTAATTTACTTGGAAGTAACTTGCACACCTTCACACAAAGCACTATCAAGTCTTAGCTAAACAGAGCTGAACTGAAGCAGTCCTAGATGAGAGATCATGCTCCCACTGCCTGAAACGCAGAAATCACCTTCTTAATATAGCCAGAACTTAGTATCTTAAAAATCAAGATGTGTGGCCCAATCTCATCCCTTGTGTACATCTGCACACCTGAAAAGTGGACAAGGAAATATTAACATGCATGCAAACATTTCATAATTTTCAGAACACAGAAGTGAAAAAGCAGAGGCGACTGTTTTGTATTGAGAAATGAAGATACCATTTCTTGATGAACATTTAGCCTATTTATACTCAATTGTACCATGTTATCATTTAGTGTATTAATACTTAAAGTGAAATGAAAAAAAAAGGTTACTAACCTGTGGGAAAAGCGAGTAAGTTGCATTGTCGATAGTGACAGAATATAAAAATTCCCCATCAAACCAGAGGTTCTTTCCCATCGGGGAGTTCAGCTTTGTCATAGCAAAGAGCTGCCCAGGGTCACAGCATTCTTCCAGCAGTTTCCTAGTGAAGGCAACCAAAAGAGAAAGAGCCACATTAATTAGGGCTTTGGCACGCCTTCTCTGACAACCACCCCTCACACCTGAGATCCTGCTGCTCTCAGATGCTCCGAAGCAAGCCATTCATCTTCCCAGCCAGTGGATGAACCATGGGTGACTTTTTTTTTACTTACAGGAGGGCCAGAAAACCTGATTTTATTTCAGAAAAAACTTTGAAATAGATAGTAAAAAATTTAAACCTCCATTCACTTTTGAGTGGCATAGAAATAGAACCAAGATTCATCAAAGAAAGTCCAACCTTTAGAACTCATTCTAATTAATAAAAAACTGGTTTCCAACACATGGAGAGATCAGAGAAGCAACTTTGAAAATTACATCTGAGTTATATGAAAAGTCAGTACCAAACCTTATTTGTGAAAAGCAGGCCTCCTAAAACCCCACAGTTACATAACTTAAGCATGGAAAAATTTGGCATCTCTCTCCAGTTACTAAATATCCTAGCGCTAAATTCACAGCAGTATTAGAGTCTGCCTTCCAACTGAAGTCCAACTTGAGTCATCCCAGTATGATTATATATATTATATATATCTAGTGGATATTATACTTCTTGTTTCCTTGCTGAAACTGCATCTCCTCTTACATATTCATTTCCCCAAAACACTTACTACTCAGCTTGAGTAGAAATTGGAGAGCTGGTAAGGTGGCTGAAGGTTGTATCGAGCAAAAACTGTATCACAGCAAACTCAGCAATTAATATCCTAAAATACAGAATGATGAAGAGTTCTATCCTATCTTTCCAAAGCACTCATGGGAGTGGCTCTCTATAGGAAGGGTGACACTTCTACTAGTTTTTATATGTAATAAAAGTATGTAAAATTTTCATTGCAGAATTATGCCTTTACAGTAATTAATATATTATTATATATTTTTTTCTCATTTATTTTAAAAGGAATACTAAAGAGACAGACAAGACTTTATTTAAAACCATTAAGTCATTCACAGAAATGTTTAAATTTAAGTTTTACAGCTACTTTTCTTCTCTAAAAATGTATGGTTTAAAAAAAAAAAAAAATCATTTTTTCCCCTATCAAAAATTGACTTTTCCATAAGTTAATAATTTTCTGTAACTGTCTGAATACTATTTTCCATACATAGTTCAACTGAAAGTTTGATGAAAATCGTAGAGTGGATTTTTTGTAATCTTAGCAGAAGAGGAAACAGCTTGAAAATGTTGCATGGCAAACAAAAAACCTAGGGGTTTTCAGTGCTATTCGTTAGCTTTCCCCATGGGGGAAGTTCAGTGTTTTGCTCTGGTTCAGCTCCAGGGCAGAGCTGCCCCGACTGATACACCGGGGCTGTGGGACGCTTCCTCGCGTGGAGGAAGGCTCTCATGGGACAGCAAGGATGCAAGCGCAGGGAAGCTGGACTGAGGGCAGGAGGTCCACTCCTATCCTATAACAGGTACTTAAGAGTAGCCTTTGCACATGACATGCAGGCAAATTAAGCTGTTAAAAGGAAGCAAATTACACAAGGTAACTGGATATCACATTTTGTTGGAAGTCAAGTCGGCTTCTACCAAGAGCCGCAAAGTAAGAGATCCCCCTGTAACAGTCCCCCCAGGCAGCCAAAGAGGTAACTGATTTTTACGGAGACTCAATCAGAAGCTTATGGTCAGGGTGCTTCATGGCTCAAAATTTCAATATTTTGTCCATTTGACCCCACAGCACTGCACCAGAGAGCATGAGGCTCTACCACGTATCCAGACCTTACATTGTGAGTGTGCAGGGCTCACGACCGCAGAGCATCCTGCTGCTCAGAGTGAAGTATTATGGGCACTCATTTGTTTCCATGTTTTCTCCATACACACCTGGATAACTCCATCTGTATAAATAAGTATTTCAGAAAAGATGTAAATCATTGTGCTCTGGTGCACAAGTCAACCTCAAACTAATGAAGTCAAAACTGTGTCCAGTTCTAGACCCCATAAGTCAAGAAAGACCATAGACTGGAGAGGGTCCAGAGGAGGGCCATGATCATGATCAAGTGCCTAGAAAACCTGCCCTATGAGGAACGACTTAAGAAGTTAGGTCTGTTCTCCCTAGAGAAGATAAGACTCAGGGGGGGCCTCATCACAGTTTTCCAGTACTTGAAGGGCAGTTCCAAAGAGGATGGAGGCACTGTCTTCACAAGGAGACATATGGAGAAGACAAGGGGCAATGGGTACAAGTTGCACTGAGGGAGGTCTCATCTTGATATAAGAAAGAAATTTTTTACAGTGAGAACAATCATTCCATGGAACAACTTCCCCAGGGCCATGCTGGAGTCCCCATTGCTGGAGGTTTTCAAGACGCAACTGGACAAGGTGCTAGATAATCTCATCCAGGCTCCATTTCCCACGAAAGGTTGGACCAGGTGATCATTTGAGGTCCCTTCCCAGCTCAGCAGTTTTGTGATTCTGGAACTGTTTTCCCTTAGACTGTCCATTGCAGAGCTGGTTTGTCTCCCTCTGAGCAGAACAGAGCAATGTGTTAGCCAGAGTGGCAATTTCCATTTCTAGAAACACCAATGGGTCTATCTATACCCACCAAAGAAAGGCTTCACATCACTCTCCTGCTGATGCCCAAATAAAGCCTTCAGCACAGAACTGTGAAAAATCAAACTAGAGGACATTTGAAATCTCTCACCAAACAACCTTTGCCAAACAGTTTAACACAGGCACAGAATATTGTTCCAAATAAAAGATTTGAGAGTGGAGACTTTTCTGGCTGTCTACAAACTCCAGTTTGCAGCCTTTGGAAAAATGTTTCTCTCTCTGTCAAGTGGAAAGGAAATAATTTCTGCCTATCTTTCCCCTCCTTTTCTTTGTATATTCTATTCCCACGGCAACTTTTTCATGAAAGCATAAGGTAATCCAAGATCAGTCAAAGCCTCAACTGTACGTATAGTTGTTTTTTATACAACTGTGTAACAAAATTAAAATTTCCGAGTGGAACTTTGCCACTCATACCTTCTCTGGCAGTCTGGTCTGAGCAAGAAGCACAAATATAACTGATAGCTCACTTGAAAAGTATCTAGGGAATGTTTTATAGTAAGGAATCTTTCCTTAGACAGGGTAAACTGATGAGCTAAGGAACAGCTCTTTGTATGATTCCTCTCTCCTCCCCCCATCTATTAAACTAGATATATATATACACCTGCTCTTTCCCCTCCCAAAAAATGCATTCTTCTGGTCCCATTGAATCACTTGTTAATAAACCTGTTATGAAAAGCAGTAGGTGTTTCTTGGAAGGTCCACAGATAGGCGGGTCACTAGTTCAAGTGTGCATCTGCATGTATAAGCACAAACATCTTGCGCATTCACATGCGCCTTCTGTCAGAAAAGAATAATTATTAGAAGTCTTACATTATTCAGACTCTCTTTCTGATCCAAATCCCAAAATTACAAAGTGAGAAAAGCTCCATAGGAAAACGTGCATTAAAAAGCAGAACAAATTCAAAGGCCAACCCTAAAGCAGGGTACTTTGCAGGATAAGGGTTTGTGAACTGATTTGCTCAGCTTGATTAACATGTACAGCTACAATGTTATGATAGAATTTGCAAAACTACAGCAGCTTTTAGCCAAGGATTTCGATCCACTGCAAGCATTCCCTCACTTACAGGACATAAATAATATACTTTGACTTGAAGTTATCTTCAATTCAGAGGAGACCTGCGTATGAGAGGAATTAAACAACTTGAATATTGGTATTGAAAAGGCACCAGGGGCCCTCAGGTCTGAGAGCACTTAAGGGACAAATACCTACTTACGAGAGAAGCAGGAGAAAAGTTACTTTGAGAATCTCACTTCAGGCCTCTAAAATTTCAGCCACAATTGGGCAACAAGAAGGTCATTAACTACAAAGCAGCATTAGCACTGATGTGGCTCTCCACATCAACTCAAGCAGCAACCTGTGCACAAGGCGGGAGCTGAGCAGCAGCTCTGAGACGTCAGCCCGATCCCCACGGTGTATTGTGCTGAGGTTATACCAGCAGACATTGCACACTGGAAGAAGCAGAGTGAAATAGTTGGTGCCAAGGATCCTACATCCACACTACCTTATTTTCATGGGATTTACTGCAGAGTAACTCTGGTCTGATTCCACAAAGAGCCTGTGAGTGGCTGTAGCACACTGAGTGCATTACTGCAGTGCTGTAACTGGGGACAATCAGGAGACTTGTCTCAAAAGTCCACTTCTGACCAAAGGGCTAGTACAGGTGCCACCCTCCTCCACCTAAAAGTGACCAGACCTCCTTGCAAAGTTTAAACCTAAATTCATACATCAGTGACAGAGCTTGCATAAATATCCCAAACTACTGCATAAATATCCCAAACTATTTATTCTTCATCTTAAGTTAATGAAATTTTCAGTTTGATTTCAGCCTGCAGCCAGTTAACGCTTAATCTCACCCTGGTTTGATTCAAGTCTCAGCCAATAATGACTCAGTAGCTAGTTCAAACATCCCAAATGGCTTAAAACTGGCAAATATAACATCTAAAAGCAGAAATGGGCAATTCCACAGTTCAGGTTGTCAGCCAGGAGGTTACAGCCCTTTAGCTATCTCTTCTCCACAGGTGGAGCAGGTCCAGCCTCCCCCGCACACCCACCACCACTTCAGCTCTCTGCTGTGCCTGCTTTGGGATGCTGCTCTACATGAAACACGTAAGCACTGCCAGCACAGTGAGAAGGAGGGGGAGCAGAATTCTTCCTCTCAAATTTCTCCTTTTAATCCCATGCAAAGGGGATCTAGTACGTCAATGAGGAAAAGAGCACGCTGATGGGAAGCCACTTGTCTGGCAGCAGCAACAGGAGGGCAGCTTCATGAAGGAGGACTGATGGTTTAAGCCCGATCTTAAATGGCATGCCATATAGGGGCAGGGGTATGGGTCCCAGGTGAGGCTGGTTAGGGCTATTAAGGCCTCCTGGTGCCCTGACACCAGTAACACTACCAACCACCCCTTTTTTT